ATAAGAGACAGGGGTGGGAGTGTGGATGTTAGTGAATGCTAACCCAGCACAGTATGGGTTGTTGAATTCCTGTAGTAGTCTAAGTGCAACCTTCCAAACATGGATAGTCTTAACAGTTTTTAAAGATCTGTGATATTTCATATTGAAATTATTAGTGAGATAAATACTTTCGATTTGACTAGATTGCACAGTGTATATACAGTTTCACGATTGCCTATATCCAATCTTACTCTTTTGTTTACAAATCACTTACCAGACAACACCATTATCATGAACAACTTCTCCAGAAGACAGAGGCATTCCTTTGTAGTAACAAGGACAGCTAGAAGCGGGCACACATTTGCCACTTTCATCCATGTAGGTTCCATTTATGCAGGTGCAGCCATCAACTGGGACAAACTTGATGCTACAGGTGACATCAGGCTCACTCAGAGAGCGGCAGGTGGGTTGACAGGATTCGACGTTGTAAGTGTACTTCAGAGATTTTGGACACAAGGTGGTGTATTTTGCTTGAGAGTAAAAAGATGAGTTACATTTGTATTTAATTTAAGAATCAATGTAGGTATAAAATCTGAGGTAAAGTATATATGATAAACAGCAATGTATGTACATATGATTTACTGATATCCTTGATAGTGTATTTTTTTTTTTTACTGCTAGAAGAGAATTTTCCCCTATAAATGTACAAAGACAAATGTTTTGTCCAGGTTAAAAAAAGAAAAAAAATCCATTATATTAATGCACAGTGTGGTTTTTCTTCATTGTTATTTTTATATTTTTTGTCAAATTGAGAAATAGCCTATTTATTTTATTCCTGTTGCAAGGGTACTGAGGTCCATGAGGTTTCTGCTGGTTCTGATCAAGAAATCTAACAAAGCCTCTATTTTATATTTCTCCCTGCTTACTGTTCATCTTTTATGGTATTCCCTTCCTTTGCAAATTCTTGAAACTCAATGCTCTACTTAAAACACAGTTTAACACAATATACTGTGGGAATTCCTGAGAGCTTCTGTGTCAGACCTTTTGGATGATCATTTTCAAGAGGCAAAGAGATATAAAACTTACTGCAGGCTTTGCTCCTCCATCCAGTAAGAAGAACTCCTTTAGCAGCACAGGCCCTGACGTAGCTGGAAAGGGCAGCACACATGCAGTCCTCACTCTTCTCGCAGTTACACGTGTCAAACATGCAGTTCTAGGGACAGAGGATGACATAAGATCATAAGATCATCAGATTGGTGTATCAAAGCCATGGCACTCTATAGCTTTTACAGTGTCCTGTTCATTAGAGCTAAAGGCGAGTGTAATCCATAGGCATAAATGAACATATGCCTATTGTCATTTGAAGATTTCATTGAGCGCTTTTAAAAAAGATTCTTTGCAAGGAGAGAGTAATTAGAGGTCCACAATTTTAAGCTGTTTTTCTTGTTATTTTTTACTTTTTCAGGTGTTGGTAGGTTTCCCAACTATTTCCAGTTTGTAGCCACTGTGCCATACATAATTAGAACAAGTAGAGAGTGTTTGATTCCACACAACTTCTAGGTTTAGGCTTAGGAGCTTGGGCTCTCTGCATCAGAGGGACAAAGAAAACCAGCAGTCATTTAATGTGCTGCTATGCCGGGCAAGGTCACTATAATGTCATTCCAGAAGATGTTAGTTGAACACAGTCTTACAGATTTCCAGTAACAGGATGACTTTGTAAAGTTCACAGACACTCTGTTCCAGAGCTTCATCACCTTGAAATCCTGGAACCTTTTTGTTCACATCTTATCTAAATCTCTTCACTGCTTCTTACAGACTTTTATTGCCCTGTCCTTGGATATATGCAAAAGCCTTCTGAGAGCAGTTCAAAACAACTAAGTGAAGTGCTAGTTGAGATTCTGTCTAAAGCTTTCCTTATATCTCGAGAGGGATGGCTTTTGTCCTTTGACCTGGTAAGGAGTCCAGGGAGTCCAAGTTCCTAGCTTAGGCATTTAGGTTAGTGCCTAAAACTATGGGCTACAGGAATACACCTGTAAGTTTATCCTCCTGGGAATGGAAAGAAAGGTACCTTTACAAAGGAGTAATTATTATGATGTGTAGATAAAAATGAACCATTGGATTGAAAAGAACTGTCTTGAATGCAACTCCTCCCAATTGGCAAGTCATTCTCTGAGGTGTTAGTATCAGAAATCTGAGTACTTTTCTTTTAAATGGGAAAAATATAAAAGCTGAGTACCTTCTCGTAAACTTCTGGATTCACTGTTGAGTGACATTCAGCAAAAGGTCCCATGGTATCAGAGAGCAGTCCACACCAGTGCTGCGCATACTGGTCTGTGAATTGAAAACATGGTAAGAATTTCTATTGCACTTCATTGTCCAAACTCTTGTCTCAGTGTAACTGTACTTCCTGCTGGGAAATTGCAGAAGCTTAAGTTTATAATGAAATTCAGTTCTACATTTGCTGAAAAACAGTCTTTCACTTCCTCTATACAGAAGTATGAACTCCTCATAAACTGAATGCTCTTAATTCATGGTAGTTGTCATGGAATAAACTAAGACATCCTTAGCTGAATTTTGAAGAAGAAGGTTCATATATGTGAATTAAAAATATGCTACTTCAATCGCTGTATGGCTCCAGTTTCCCTTAAGCGAGCTGGAAAAACCACTTGCTTGCTTTCTTTATCCAAAGGAATATTTTTGAAGATCCAAAATATTATCCTAGGTATTATTTATCCATTGAAGTCTTCTAGTGTCAACTGAGGAAAACTGTGTGCAAATGGTCCACTGTTATTTTGGCTGAATGTTTGGTGGCTGATCAGCTTATCCCTTCTTTCCATCTTAAAAGAGTGGTTTACTGTATGCTGAGCTTACCATTTTGTATGCTGACGGTACAGGGGTTCTCAAAGGTATTTTTAGCATCAGGACAATCAGCCCGAGTTTTCCAAGTGTTGCCAAAGGCAGCTGAAGTACCCTCTATTACACCACTGGTGGTTTTGAAATCATCTGTCTGTATGTCATTGAAGTTTCCACAGAGACCTAAAAGGAAGCAGATGGGCAGTGAAAGTCTCCTACAGGATGAAGCATACTGATGAAGGCAGTTGTTACTATAAGATCACTTACCACAGGTCTGCCCTTTATGTGATGGGTCTAAGTCGATAAAAACTTGCATGAGAGGCACAAGCTGAACCTGTAGCTGAAGACCAAAGGTAGTTTGCAGAATGATGAAGAAAGATGATGGTCTGAAGATGGTGACATTCGCTAGGGATGTAAGGACATAAGAGTTATAATTTCATATGAGATGAGCAGTTGAAATGACTGTTCCTCATATAGAGGGAATCTACAGCTGTGTTTGATACGATCCTAATTTCTGAAGAACTGGGGGAAAAATGATCCACACAGGATTTCGTATCCAGCACCAAAACAGGCTGTCTTTACCCTAAACAACAAATGTATAAAATTATTTCTGTCAGCTGTTTTAGCTTGATGAAAATGATGTATCATTATTCAGTGTTAGACTCCAACCTGGACTTATTCTGTCCTTTCATGGTTTGCTTTCTGTTCAGGTGAAGTAATACCTGAGAAGAACTGGTTTGAGAGTAACTCTCCAGTGATGGATCTGTGCCAAGGGACAGAGGCAACATAGGCAACTAAACAACTTCAGATATTGGAATCTTGTTGCATATCAGAATTTTTCTTTCCTCACATATGGCAATGTTTACATCTCTAAGTGTGCAGTGATGCTATTTGTTTGAATTGAATCTCCATTTAATTAGATATCACTAAAACGACACCATAATTTTGCTAAAATGAGACCATAATTTTGCTAAAATAGGCAAACCCTATTACTTTAAAAATGAGAGACTGTGCTCTATGGGAGTACCTTGGGTTTTCTGCAGTGTAACCAGTGGTAGAATTTGGCTTTAGATTAATTGATGTAATAACATTTTAAAGTCAAACCCAGAAATATTACAGAAGTTTTTCAGAGGAACTTACCTGCAGAGAATGGCAGCTGTGTGTAGATCATATTCACAAATACACTGCCAGAAGGCTGGATCACAATGTTCTGTCCACAAGAAAAGACAATGATTATCAAACATATTTAGAAAAGGTAAAACACCTTCCAAATATTTTCTATCTTGTATTGTTCAGGATAAAGGAGAAAAAGAAAAATGTGGGAGGAGACTGGGGTGATGTTCAGATTCCTATACTATTTCTTCAATCTTTGTTACTGTGGTCCATTGTCTGTCAAAACAAACAGGCAAAATCCCAGAGATAACTAAATGACAGAAAACTACTAGTATCTTGACTTCCAATGTACCTATGTTATTCTTAATTTTTCTTTATAAATGAAGTTCAAATGAGATAAAACAGAAAACTCAGTGCAGATTTCTTGTCTGTGCTGTTATGTGTCATTTGCAGACTACTTGTCTATTAAGCTTTGAAAACATCCCTGTAGAGTGTTAGGTGTCTACATTTGCTACTTACAGTTTGTCCTCCACTCAGGCTGACAGCTATACCCTTGAGGCATGTCTCAGTGTCAGTCAGGCCGCACTTTTGGATATCTCCCAGAACAGTGAATTCATTGCTGTCACAGAGCTAGAAGAGAACAAAATATATTGTTAAAAGGATTTGTTATATTAAAATATTGTTATGCTAAAAAGATTCACACTCAAATGGCATTCTCAATAAAGTGAGTCTTTAAAAATATGTATTCCTCTTCTTTCTGCTTATATGTTCTTACATACATGCAGAGAGTCACCAAGCAAGCTGGCATTCATGCAGTCTGCACAGTGGAAGTTATCCCTTACTTCTGACACTCAAGAGCAAGTTAGACATATTAAGCTGAACATTAAAACTTCTTAATGTTTAGGTAATAGTCGTTCCTACTGTTTAGGTAATACTAGTTTAATACACTAGAGAAGAAGAAGGAAGTGTGCCATTCTTGCCCATTGGTTATGGTGTTTACCTGGAAGAGAAAATTTTCCAGTCTCTTCTGCACTGAACAGATTACCAAAGAGCCTGGTGATTTGGACAATCTTTTAACAGGCAGGAAATATGCATTTACATATCCTCTCATAGCAGAAAGTTAAGCTAAAACCACTGTTCACTAAATTACAGAATAAAGGAAAAATTATTTTTTTTTCTCATGGGTCTGATTTTCATTAGATCATGTTCTGTGAGCTTATTCCAAGTATGCATAATGGCCAAGACGTTGCAGGGAAACATGCAGAAGGCTGTGGTTCTGAATGTGTCTTACCATTTTCTTGACATAATAAAGATTGAGGACAGCTCAGATGCATAATTACAGCCATCTGGAAATTTAATGTTGAAATTGGGGGCTTTTTGACCTTTTTTTTGCCAACTTTAAGGGTTTTCTGTGCCTCCAGAGCCTCTGAAAATCTCTTTTTATGTGTTGGTGACAAAAGGGAAGTTTAACATGTAAGTCTGATTTCATTGTGCATCAAGCCCAGTGCTTGTGAATCTCATTTAAAAGTTTCATTGATTTAGTCTAATCTATTTCTGAATTGTCTCATTCTACCTCTTTTCTGTTTTTATGGTTGTCTTTCTTGGTAACATTCAATTTGAGATTTTTGAGGACAGATTTTATTTCTGAAAATTGTTTACCTAGAATTCTGAAATCTGCAAATTTGTAGTCATTATTTTAGATGCATTTACTCAGAATTCAGTCCCTACTAAACTAAAAACTGCAGGAAATCTTAGATGCTTTTGTAATTCATCAATATTTAGAATACATGCATGACTTCTTGGTGTGTTCCCTTTAAACTCTAGTCTTCTATGTCTACTGGGAAAGACTGTTTGGAAGGCTGATCACCTTAATGAAATAACTCCTCTTACATGAATTCTGTATAATAATAATAATAATAATAATAATAATAACAACAATAATAATTCCATTATGAATACTGTTAATCAAATAAGCCATTGAACTATATTAACTGTGACAAAAAAGACAGTACCAATGGATATAATAAACACATTGCTCAGAAGGAGGCAGTTATAAAACACCAGACAGGCAATATTTAATTTAGAAGTTTATGGGAAGCATGGAGATTGTTTCATAGAACCTAAAAACTCAGTGCAATTCTTAAACAATAATCAGAGAATACAAATCTACTACAATACGTCTACTTAGTATAACCCTAACAGAGAACTCCCCTGAAATCCATTTAAGACTCCATGTTGACCTGCTAAGTTTCAGAGAGTTGATGTGATATCCAGCACCTTTAATTAAACAATGTTATATATAATAAAAACCTTTTCCTTTAACATATTGCTTTAGCAAGGATTGTGACTTATTTTTACCTTGGTTAGGACATAGCTACAGTCTCCAAAGAAGGAATAGTATTTCTCATCAAATGTTGAAATGTGGGAGCCTCCTTCAATACTGCAAGTCCCAGGGCATGACTGGGTGATACAAGACCATTCACCTCCAACACAGGTACTGAAATGAAGAAGGCATTTAGTAAACTTGGGTAATGCAAGTGAAAATGAAATAAGAGACAGTAAGGGCCGTTGATGCCTTAATTTTCCTCTTGAAACACGGATCATACTGTCAAAGAAAGTGACATTGTTCTGAAATGTCAGAATGAGTATGGGACAGGCACATTTATATTAGAGATATTTTTTTATATATATTGCTGTACATTTCCAGTCTTTGGACAGAATTCAGTCCTGGTGAATCTGGCATCCATTCTGCTGCATGTGAAGGATTGCCCCCCATCTCCATTAACATGGCTCAAGCTTCAACATGTTAAGTATTTCTTGTAAAATACCATGCATGTTTGTAGTTCATGTATAGTTTGTAGTTCATGCATGTTTGTATTCATGGATAGATAGGTCCATTTGCATACGCTTAGGCAGTAATACTTCAGTAATTATAGTGATATTAAAAATGTATATATCATATCTGTCAAACATGCCTCTCAAATGTGATCTCCCACTGTCTAATGCAACACGTTCCTAAATGTCACAACCTCCATAGCATTTACATGAGCATCCTAGTAGTAGACTGCAATGCTGCAAAGGACCTAACACAGTAATTCACATTTTTAAACACCTCCAGTATTTGAATTTGATTTTTTTCCTTTAATTGATTGGTCTTGAAATTGAAATACTTATATCTAAACTAAAATTTTTGCTTCCAAGTGGGAGGAGAAAACAAGCATGTAAGTATCCTCTAAAAATGTGTAATCAAGGAATTTTGGTTGATAAGTAGTTCTTAATTTCTTTTTAAGGGGAAATTAGTAATTTTCCCCTGTCTTCAAAATGTTCTGGTAATGCATGTTAAAAATGAGAAAGGGAGTATGTTACCATGATCTGCATTTAGATGAGAAGGAGGCACCAGGAGCATAAGTTTCACCTTCGTAGGTACAGTGGCATTTTTTACGGGGAATGCAGCCAGCACCATTAATGTCATCAAATACCATTCCTAGGGAAAAAAATGGTCTGTTACTCATTCTGTACACTGCAGAACCTGCTTTTGTACACATATCTGGTACATGCCTGAAAGCATTTTCCATTTCTTCTGTATTATACAGAAAATGAATAGAAAGTACTTTAAAATAATAGGATGCCAGCCGTGTAGGGATTGAAGGGCTATATTCCATTGAAGCCTATCTAAAATCTTAGGGTGATCAAGAGAGACCTCTAGGGAAGTACTTTTCTGTTATGGACTTCTTTAGAATGGAAGAAGGATTAAAATTACTAGATAATGAGGTGAAATAGATGAACCGTTTGTAAGACTGCCTAGGGACATATTTGTACAGTAAATATTTTTAGACCCAAAGGCAGAGGATTATCTAAGAGAAGTCATGTTATACAAAACAGTGGTGGTGAATTCTGTGAGACATATGGAGGATAGGCAGAAGAGCTGCAAGGATCCTACCATACAGTCACTCACAACACCAGCAGTTCTCAGCCCCAGAAGTAAGCTTACACAAAGAGAACACATTTGCATTGTTTGTCTTGTACTGATATTCAGCTCTCTGAAGTGCCAGATTTTATACATTTCTTAGTGCTCCCTCAACTACCTGTTGTTTAGGCACGCAGCACTGGACAGGTAGGCTTTGGTAATTCGGGGAACCAGACAGCTTTGCTAACACCAGAAGTTATCATTGTGGGCAAAACGTGATAAAACATGACATACTTTCTGTGAACTGAATATAGATGCTGAGAGTTGAAGACTTATCCCCTTATTATTAGGAGCAAAGTATCTCATTTTCAGTTCAGTCATTATGTCCATGTCTCGGACGCATTTGTTGTTTAAAAGGGTATTTTTAGTAACCTGAATAGAAATGGTGCATGTGTACCCAGGAAGAAATGTAGCAATTACTTTGATGATAATAACAGCAATGACATGATGAGAGTGACACAGGGTACGGAAGTTGTTAAATGTGTACAGGTAAGTGTTCTGGCAGTTTTGGCTATGAGAAGAGGGCAGGAAATAAACTTGCCTGGAGGACAGACGCAGCCATCTGTACAATGATCTTCACAGAGTTCAGACCGCTCTGGGTTGCTGCATGTGTCAGAGCAGGGGGAGCCACACTCCTGGTAGTGCATGTTGAAAGGACATAATTTGGCTGAAAGTAGAAATAGTGTTATAATGCTGACTTTTCCGTTGAAATGTTGAGAAAACAGTATTTGCAATTTAGGAAGTTTTCTGTCAAGCTGTAATGGGAAATCCTGATCCAAGTGGAGGATGAAACATTTTAAACTTTCTGATATATATTAAAAACCCTTAGTAATGCAAAATCCTCTAAAATTCCATATTCCCAATGTCTTGAATATGCTCAGGTTTAAAACTGATTTGCGTGAAAATTGCATGCATCTTTAAATGGATGTCTTCTTTGGGAGAAAGGACACATATTTGAACTTCACTAGATATGGGTAGTAAGCACAGGTGAAAGTCCCTTCTTGAGATACTTACGGCACAGTTCTGAGGTTCTCCAGTTCAGAGGCTGTCCACCTGCATGAGCGCACTGCCGGGAGTATTCAGCAAAGGTGTTGCACATGCAGAAGTCAGCCATGGAGCTGTCACAGTGGCATAGGTCTTGTATGCAAGTTTCAATGTAGTCCTGAACGTTCACAAGTGCATTACAGCTTGTAAATGCTTTACTGGTTAATACTGTCTCACAGATAGAAGCCTAGGAGGGAAAATAGAGAAGGTAGAACCAGTGTTTAGAAAATATCAAACTAATTATTTAAGGCATGTAGCAGAACAAACCAAAGGTCCATCTGGTCCAGAAACCTACAGTAGCCATAAGCAGATGTTTAGGGAAAAGTATAATAACAGGGCAAGTACACATGGAACTCCTTTGGTTAACTCCCCTATCTTGAGTTCCTTTCAGCTCAGGTGACTTCCCAAGCATTATACAGTTTCTTTGTATAAAGATATCCTTATCTTATCCTTAAGAATTTATCTTTCATGAAAATATCCAGTCTTCTCACTGAAAGGGGAATGCCACTTTTTACCATTTATTTTAACAATGACAAAAAAAAAAAAAATTAGAAAAATTTTCTTTCCAGACCTACAGTTGAGTCATATTCATGCTATTTTTTTTTTCTGATTCTAATAAATTTTCCCGAAAGACAGAGAGAATGTATTTTACACTGAGAAAAAAAATTTTGAGAGAGAGGTTCTTACAAATTCAGTTGAGCAGCTTGTCGGAACATCAGGAGAAATAGGATCAGCACACTGCTCTGTGGGTCCATCCATCTTCTGCTTATTCCCAAACTGTATAGGAGTCAGTTTTGTGTCTGTAAGAAGCAGTCCAAATATTAGAATAATATTTACATGGAGATATTTTGTGACATTATCTGCTATGACATGAACAGTGATTACTAAGAAATATCACTATAATATGAAAGAAGAAAGGAGGTGAAGAAGGTATATATGGATCCTAACTATTGAAAACAAGTAAAAAGCTGCATGTGGCAGATATTAAAAGATCTAACAGTGATGGAAGAAGTCTAATACATCTCAAAGCCCTGACTCTATATATAAACTGACATCTTAGAAATACATAAAAAAGTATCACTAATTTTTCAGTTAATACAGCCCACAGACTGTGTTACAGTACAGTGCTGAAAGAAGAAAAAACAAAGTTCCAATACTTAATAATGCTTTTTATGACTTACTCTCTGAAAAAAATTCATTGCTAGCTGGAATTCCATTGAAGTCCCCACAAAGTCCACAAGTTTGATTGGCGTATTTTTTGTCTAGTTCCACCTAAAAGTAAAGAGGAAAGAGAGCTTAGGTTCATAGTATTGTCAGTCTTGATGGTTAGGAACACAGCCTACATCAATATTGTTTATGTACTCAAAATTTGACATCTGTATGCTGTGCAGGCTGTATTGTGTGGTAACAAGGTAGGTACCATTGGGAAGAGCAGTGAACACCAAGAAAAACTTGATTTTATTCTAGTCCTGGGGCTGTGAAGATCAAAGGTTTGGAATCTGAGGAGTACTTTGCTGTGAGGTGGGAATGTTATATTTGGGGTTCTATTGATCTTGAGCTGAGCTTGGTGGGAAAAAAAGGAAAGTTGAGAGAAGACTGGAAGACAGAACAATACTCTAAAAAAGGACACAAATTCAAAAGTAACTAATACCCGCCTGGCTGATTAAGGCTGCAAATATCTAAACAGCCTGTTTTCAAAATACAGGTTTTCTACCGTGTTTCGGATGTTCTCTTACCAGGAGGGCATCCTCTTCATTCCAAAGGAAGGTCAGTCCTAACTTGGCAGAAACTTTCAAATAGCTGTTACTTCTCTCTATGAAGACTCCCATATGGCTGAAGGGCAGCTGAACCCTGGGGAAAGATCACTCTAATTCAGTGAGGGTAGGGACAGAATAGCCATTGAGTATCCACGCTGATATCCTTTCTCATTCTCTTTGAGAAGCTTCCGCATGCATAGGTGAGGAAATCAGTCAAGAGCAGTAACTAAACACAGACAACACAAGTTTGTAACATTTTGTCTGTTGCCTATGGAGTTTCTTCTCATGGTGCAAACGGATCGGCCTGGCTTTCCCTGCTGTTCCTTTCAGCTATTTCTGTTAATGAAGTTTTGCTAGGTAAAATGTTGGCATGCATCTTTGGTTGTACTGTTCAAAAAAGTACAGGTAGTACGCTTCAGGATATTGCTATTCACTCCTTAAAGCCCTTGATAATAAAGGAATAGGCTATTTAGGCTTTCTGTGACATGAGTGTCACTCAAAAAGGTGTACCCAAGCTAACCTCTAGGCTAGCTCACTGTACATAGCTGCTATAATACACAAGTCACTGTGGGATAGCTGCCCAAATATTTAACCAGCCTTTTGGACAGGTTTCGCATCCTACACTAAAGTCAGTGATACCATTGCCACATAGATAGCAAGTCTCCAGACTAGCTTATTTTAAATGGTTGCAGGTACAGGCTGCATACTGTTCGGTGTAAGGACAAAAATTCCTCTCAAGGATCTTGTTCTGGTAAAATTAATGGAAAATAGAAACTTAAAGGGTGCAAAAACCTAACACTTTGACTGAATCCAGCTCATAAATCAATTGTATATATATAGATACACAGTTGTAGCAATGGGGCAGCATCTGGGATATAGCTCATCTGATCAAAATGGACAGAGGGGTAATCTGCAGAAGCGGCACTTAGCTGACTGCCAGGCCCTCTTATTCTTGTTGGTACTTCAGGAAGGAACTGACCCTCAAGCTGCTTGGGAGCAATGTGAGATCAGATGAGGGAAAGGGATGCTTGATCAAAGAGCCCACTGGGAATAAGAGCAGTGAGGGTAGTCTCAAGTTATGAACATACGTTTTGCCATCAAACAGGATCGAGCCAGGGGTCAGTTCAATCACTGCTCCTTCCAGCTTCATGATGACGTGAGTGATCAGAGTAGAATTTTCCACCACTGTACGCCTAATCTGGACATTGAAGTCCTCATAGGGAGATTTGCAGTTGGATGCAAAGATATAATTGCAGACCCCAGGGAAGTAAAAGATGTCCCCGTCAAAGGTCTTGTAGTGGAAGTTACCCCATGTGCTGCACACACGGCCATTGTGAGAGGGGTTGCCAGCTGTGGATTCAAAATAAGCAGTAAGAATTTTCTGTAATTTGCTGTAGATACCCTCCCTTTAGTTGCTTTTCCCCTTTTATTTCTTTCACTAACCTCTGTTCAAAAAGCCCATCTTCTGTTTTCCTTCTTGTCAAGCTATTTGTTTATCGATCTGTTATTTGTTTAATCTGTTTTGCACAGGGATATAGGGCCTAAGATCGAAAGAGACCTCCCAGGCTCCTACGTCCAATGCTCTGGTTCTGCTGACAGCCATATACTATAAATCCTCTCCTAAATGTATGAACTCTAAAGTTTCACCATAAAAACACTTTAAAGTTAGTTTAAAACTATCTGGTACTCTGACTAGGGAAGGTCACTCATAGCTGCAGTCTTTGAATGGTTGAAAGACTTTTGCCAGCATCTTCCAAAACGTATTCCTGTCTCATGTATGCCTGGTTGTTCTTGTGCCAGTATTACACTCTGAAGGGGTTCCACCTCCCTGTTCCTCCCCGCACCCATTATAGAAATCACTTATCTCTCCTATAGAATAGATATGTTCTCCTATCTCCCTGATTATCCTCAAAGTCCCTCTCTGCATCTCTTCCAGATTTACACTTATCCTGCTTGAACATGGCTAGTCAGAATTGTACTCTATACCCTAGATGAGGGGTCTCACCAGTGCTTTGAACACATTAGTATTTCCCTCTCTTTACTGGAGATATTGTGCATGATTTATCCCAGTATTATTTTTTTTATATATATATATATATATAAAATAAATTTTTTCCAAATAATTTTTTTCAACAGCTGCATCATATCAACAAAATGCAGGCTGAATGCTGGAGTCACATTTAGATTATCCTTCTTACCTGAGAAAGTGACTAGTTTCCTTGTTCATTTTTTATTCTGTGATGCTAAAGGATCTTACACAATTTATTGATCTCTTTTGTCTCTCCATGCTCTACCTGTGTGATCAACAAGATCTGAGCCGTGACATTTGTTTAACTTACCCTTTACTTTCAGTGTGTTTGGAAGAGGTGGAATGATTTTCACTTGGGATTTCGAAGCTGGTGGAAAATCTAAGGAGGAAAAAATGATCAAGTTTAATCTTAATAGAAGTCCTACAAAACGAATAGAGATTGCCTAGTCTCTTTAGTGATTAACATTTCCTACTACTAGTTACAAGCCAGGGGAGAGTTTCCACAAGATTTTATTGGTGGTTTTTACACAGTGCTTTGTGGTTTGTCTTTCTCTATATTTCACTAAAGCCAGATCCCAAAGACCATGCTCTTTGGCTGTCGTGTTTTCTTCTATTATTTGTTCAAGACTCCCATCTGATGCTGGCCCAGGTGTTCTGAACTCAAAAGGAGCAATGTGATCCTTGGAGCACAGTGTTGTAATAGCAATGCAGAAAAAGCAGTACTAATGTCTATGCCTGAATCTTTGCCTCTCAGTACACTTACAAGAAGAAAGTTACTGAAGAATATTAGAAGCTGAGGATGAGAAACAGGAACTGGTTGTTGGTTGTTTTGTTTTTTGGTTTTTTTTGTTTGTTTGTTTGTTTGTTTGTTTTTTCTGAAGCTGTTATCTTTCTTTGTGCCAAGACACGTACTTTTGCACAAGCAACTCTAAGCAGATTTTTTTTTTTAAGAAGCTGTTTAAATTCTGTGAAACTTCAATCATTTGCATTTCTTGCAAAGACTTCTATTGGTACAATCCAGTCCTAAATTTTCCATGTCCAAATCCAATGTTTTCTCTTTGGATCCAGCAATGAAAGGGATAGAGTCACTTAGAGAACCTGTAATGTGATGTTCTTAACATGAGAGTCTGAGGAATTCATTGTCCCTTGAAAGTACTCAAATTGTAGAATTTTATTAATTCCAAACTGTAGATTGTGCTATAACAGCCATTAACTTCTGCGTTTAGAAAAAAAAGATATCACTAAGATAAATATGTGTTTTAGAAAGACCATGTCATTTAGTCTTGATACAAGGATTTTAACGGAAAGCACACATATTGCGTTCCTTGACAATCTGTTCCAACAATTAAATGCACTCACTGTTATTAATTAATTTATGGTACACTTCCAGTTTGGGTTTATCACTTTTATTTACCAGCTAGTGACCTCACAAATTGCAGATTGCAGGACAGGCTTAGTGATTAATCGTTTCAGCCTGTTATCACTAATATACCAATCAGCATTGTATTCTTCCACCCTTATTTTGATCTGTACAGTAATGGTGTTTGTTCTGTACAGTTATGCATGATCTTGTAGTGTTTAATTTTTGTGCTGTTTAACGTACTTAGTTTTCTTATTCTCTCATGAGTGATGCAGTCATCTTGACACAGCTTAAAAGATGTGTCTTTTATTACCTACTATCAAGTACCTTGGCGATATGTATGTATACACACGCCTCTTCTGAAAATACACTTTTAGATAAAACGTATGTACCTTTCATGACGTTAAAGATTAGATAACTGTATCGTATCAGAAGACCAGATCCACTGGGCCAGAACTCAGAGGAAGTTCTCCAGTTTAGAGCAGTCAGAGATTGGCTGGGAATTGGATGTATTGTACAGAGGATTTCTCTCTTTTTTTTTTTTGGGGGGGGTGGGTGTGGGGACGAGATGGGACAGGACGGACGGGGGATGAAGGGAAATTATATTCCAGCTAGGAATAAGAAATTTTACTCTTTATCAACTTGAGACAAAAACTTAGAAATAGATCAGCAGAAAAATACTTACAATTTTGTCGCTGCAGGAGGGGTGGAGAAGCATAGTTTGATTTTGTTTGTTGTTCATAATCCTGGGCTTGAACTGCACCAAGAAGAGGGGAGGAGGAAAATGTTAATGTCTAATTTTCTTGAGTTGCCTCATCATTTCTCAATTATATCTGTTTAAACATGCAACAGTCAGTGTATCAAAAATCAACAAAGCTATGTTCATGTGGAGAAGGTCAGATTTGCATCAGGACCTGTGTTACATGCAACCATCAAGGCCATATACTCCTTCATTTTTTTTTTATTTTTTTTTTTTTCTAATAAATTGCTGCAGGGAAGCCATCATAAACATGCCTGTAATAATTTGAGCGGATCATTATTCTGTTATTGTCACAGTACCCCTGGATGCCATTATGAGCTTTTCAGATAAAGAACTTCATTTTCTTAATTTTTATGATCACTGTGTGCTTTAAGCACCAGTAAAACCCTTTCTCTAGCCAGAGGGCTTTAAAAATATGTCCCTTTTGTACAGGAAGAATTCATTTTGGAGTTAGAGGACTGATCTTTGTGCTCTCTTACTGAAAGCCAAAGTTACTCCATCTTTTACAGTTTCAAGCACTCTTTGTAATAAGCAGCATAAGAAAAAAAAATGCACAGAAAGAAATAGGTCTTTCCAATAGATCCATTTATGACTTGATTTTGCCCCAAAGCAAAACATTTTTTCTCAGCAAAGAAACCATTTTTCATTGCATTCCACTGCAGCATCAGAATAGGAATACACACAAAATCTGCAGGGGCCAGAGGGGTTTTTAATGCACTGTTCAGTGAGAGTTTGTCAGAGGGCAGGTCGCAGGGGAGGCTATGCTGGCCAGAGAACACCGAAAAGGCAGGCTTACCCTCTGCTGCATCCCACACCAAGGGTAGTCTGTGGGTAGCACTGCTAGAGCAGCTAAAGTTGAAATCAGAGCTGCAGGGAGCTCCCTAAATCCCTTCCTTTTTGCACCAGCAGATCGTCTGCCCCTGGTATTGGAAGGACACATTGTGCCCATTTTTAAGCTATGAACCATTCAGTGCTTCTGGGCTCCTCTCCTCCACTGCCTGGCCTCAGTGAGCTTTGTGCTTGTCTCTCCGTGCACTGTATGATTCCAACACCCTCCCTCATGCCACATGCATAACAGATTCTCAGTTCCATTGCATGCTGTGGTAATGCTACAGCTACTCTTTTGATGGGCTGTTCTTTGACACTACGACTTTTTAACGTGTTAGTGTGGAATTACCTGGAAGCACGAAAAAGTAAAATAACACAACAAGATCTGTGCCTGAGGTCACAATGCACTAAAAACGAACATTGTTGTTACCTTAAACTTTAAGGGAAATTAACAGGTGAAGGATAGATAAAAAGGATTTCCAGTCATCTGTGAGTACTAAGTGGGCTCTTAGAATATTTAAGGCAACTCTATTTGTTTTCACCCCATCAAAAAACAAACCTGTGCTCTAAGCTTTTATGCAATCTCCTGTGCAAGAATAGGTGAACTTTTAAAATCTGTTGTCCAGTGCTTTTCATCAATATCTCTCCTTTTTCCAATACTGTATCATCAGCTGATAAAACAAAACCTTTAATAGTGCATGCAGAGAGACTCCACCGATCTGTTTCTTCCTAAAGCCACTTCTGCACCTTTTGGTTTGTGCATTTAGAAATTCTGTACCACCTTGAAGTGGACATCAAAAGCTAAATGCAAAATCTTGAAGCATTTTGGTAGAAATGTGAATTCCACTGAATTCAGTGGAGCTGTTCCAGATTTCAACTGGAGAAAATAGGCTGAGAGCATGGACTACAGTATAAACTTTCCAGGCAGTTAATTTGCTCTTCTTAGGAAGGAAAGTATTTGTAACAGAAAAGAAAATCTTGCATAAAGGTAACAGGTTCATTAACTTCACAAAGCCAAGAAAAAAAAGTTTCAAAATCCGAAGCAAGTTATAAATTCTTTAAAACAGTAAAAACGCCAAGCAAGTGAATCTTCCTACCTTTGATCTGTATGAAGGCAAGTGCTAGTACTAATATCCATAGTGGTATTCGCGTCCCACCACCTGTGCCCATCTTCTGGAAGTCCGGTAGGAACTACCGAACAACCTGCCTCTGAGGAAATACCTGTCTGCTCCTGAGTCTTATATAGTGAGAGAGTAGGTTTTGGCTCAGTTCCCAGATTGTTTCACAAGGTTTTTAAAAGGTGGGGCTTCAGACATTTTAGTTTTCCTTTGCAGGTACACAGGTAAATAGAGGATGCTCCTACTTTCCCTAAGGTATTTGCACTCTAGGAGGAGTCTTCTTTCTACAGGTCTTTTTGATGAAATGTCAAGAAGTGAGCAGGAAGAATTTTTGCTCAGGCTTAGTCTTCCCAAATCGTTATATATTATGGGATAAATACAATTTAAGAGACTTCTGAGTGACTTTTGAGCAGGAGCTTGGAATGAATTACTTCACTTTTTAAAATTTTCCTCCTTATGATAAATGATGGAAACTTAACTTCTCAAAAAATGCAAAGAAATTCCATCTGACACAGATTTTTTAAATGAGTTTGCACTTATCTATGTAGCTGCTTTGCCTGTGAAAATGGACAAATCAAACACTGTCTAAGGTCAGCACTTATTCACAGACCAGGCACAACACAGGACTACACAGTGAAAATCCTTCAGCACTGGAGTAATATGGACCTTTTCTTGAGGGTTTCCTCCTCTCACATGAGCAGTTTTCATGTTGCTTCAGCTGTTTCTCTTCTGAGTAAACAAGATTTCACCACGACAAATTATTTGATTCTACCTACAATAAAAAAAATATAGATTTTCTTTGTGATTGCTGTTCCTAGAGACACAGAAAGACTGATTTGCAAGAATGTCCTTTGGAATGTTCCTTATCTTAGGAACAATGAGAGAGATTTGTGAATATGTTAATATATTTATTTACAGCTATATTACTTTGGTAAATTAACCTTTCATAGTGTTTTACCCTGGGGTGTAGAGAAACAGTCTTTCAGTAGGCGAACGGATCCCATAATCCCACATGGGATCAAACATCTCCTGCAAAGATGAAGGTACTGGGATGGTCTCCATATTCTTTGGCCAGAGGACAAAACACAATTAGGTTTAAAACAGGGCATGAAGTTTAAGTTCGACACTGGAGAGAAAATTTATTTTTGCAAGGATGCTGAAATACTTTTACAGGTTGCCTGAGAAGATGTTTGAATTTCCATCACTGGTGGTTTTTAAAAACAGGGTAGCAAAACACCTACCTGAGAATGGGGTAAGTGCTTCTGATAGTGCCCTGGGGCAGGGGAATAGACTAAATAGCCATTTGAGGTTCCTTCAGACATGATTTCCTATTATTTTTTCCTGAAAAAAAAAAATTTATTCTCTCTGTTGGAGCAGCTATATTTGAGGAAGTAACTTCAACATTAAAAGATAAATAAAAAGCACATTTTTTTTCCTTATGTGGCAAACAGAAGAAAAGATGCTGTCTTTCCTGAACATTTTAAAAATACAATTGTTATTAATATTTAAATCAAAGTGTGATAACTAAATAAAATTGGAAATGTTGAGCAAAAGAATTGGTCACTTTCAGTCAAGAGTTATACCTTTATGGCAACTTCATTGACCTTAGTATTATTTAATGAGGAAAAGAAGATGACTACAGGATTCTTGTATATATAGAAATACATACAACGAAAATTTAAGGGAAATGTTATCTCCTCTAACAGTTATTATTGAAGTTCCAGGATGAAAATATGAAAAAGAAAAATTTTAATAGGTATAACTGATGCGTAATTAATTCTAAAATCGTATGGTAAACTCAGCTGGGTGACACAAAGAAGCTTATTACGTGATTCTATTGGTGAGAAGAAAAATATGTTTTATGAATCATTAGATGGCTTACCACTGAAATATCAATTCATATCAACAGTTGCTATGCTCCCATATACACAGGTTAACATTTCCTGCATGTTCACAGGGAAGTACAATGACCTCTCAGAGATCTCAGGTTGGTGATGATTCCCTTTGTGTGGCCATCACAGGTTAGTTTACAGTTAAATGTAACCCCTTTGACTGAGCTTTAAGGCACCATCAAAAGTGGTTCCTTATCTCTGCGGTTTCGGCTGAATGTCTCAAATCTCTTATATGTCATGAATCGCATAATCCTTACACTCCTAAGTGGCTAGTTCATTGATTAATCCTCTTGCCATGTTAACTTTCATTATCTTGTGCTGATTCTTTTCAGAAATTATTATAAAATGTGTCAAAATATGAGACCTGCAAAAATAATTTTGAAATGTTTGTAATAATTTATTAGTATTACTAATTATTCAATGAAATAATTCCTATTCAAATTGTATTTCACCTCCATTCACTCAATTTACCTACACAGGTGACATGGGAGAGAATTTTTTTAAGATTGGTTCAGACTAACATGGCCAGATTTATGTAGCTGTTTATGATTAAATCACTGTATCGTTTACTGCATAAGCAGAAATATTAGTATACTAGAAAAATTTACTGATGTATGTATTTCAATTTTTTTTAACAGAAAAGATAAAAAATTCTGATATTGCAGTGGATCTGAAAACCCTGAAACTTCTTTCTATAGCTTCTCTTGCTTTTTCACTGGATTTTATTCCTACTCTCTGCATCTGCAATATTAAATTGGATGAAACATTTCAGTAAAAGAGTTGTCAGCATTTTCAGATCCATTCTTTTTATCCCTACATGATCAAATGCTCCATGGTGATGATGTTGTTCACACATCTTACTTCTGATTTCTGAAAGAAAAAAATTAGACTGTCATATCTTATTTCCATACATCCTCTCTGTAGAATGCAAATAAAATGTCATAGCAAATCTGGTTAACTTTCAGGTGCAATAATGATTTAAATCTGTGTCTCCATTTATATTTCTAAGATAGAATGATGGACTCAGAGACATGCAGAAGGTGTCTAGTCCACCTAGTGCTATACTGGAGTAGTTTCATTCCAAGCAAAGGACAAAACCACTGGTAATTGATAGAAACTACGGCACCTCCTTTGTGTCAGTGATAAAATGCAAGTTAACAAGGATCTGTCTGCTGGACTTTTCTCTGGCTGGACATTTACCCGCTTCTGAGGCCAATTTTAAGCTCCAGAATTGCTGTTGGGACATTAGGCTTTGCATTCAGCTGAAGTACAGTTCTGATTGTCCCTAACCTTCGATCTGTCCAAATTCAAACCCATTTTTTATCTGAAAGTTTCTATGGGAAAGTGAGGGAACAGATCACTTTCTACTCGAAGTTGTTCGCTAACGTTATAGATTATCTCTTAATTATGTGAAGAGGAACTACATTTCAAACTGGTGCAGTAGGTATTTTATAGTATGATACAATAGTCTAAAGTAAAGCTATAGTTAAAGACTAAAATAGGGATACAACTCCTTTTATGTTCCTTACTAGGTCTTAGTCAAACATGGTGTCATTGATCCCTTCCTTTATTCCAAATACTTAGATAAAACTCATTGATTTAAAATCAAATAACATTATTACCTGAGTTTTGAAACCCTGTTTCACTAACATGAATAGTTCTTGCTCTGTCTTTTAGTGTGCACATTATAGAGGACCAAGAACATAATGCTATGATCTCCATTGCAGACTCTATGCTTTACTGTAAAACAGGTAATGTGATTAGGATCTATTTCTGGTTTTATTTCTATTACCTGTTCATTTCAAAGGTTGCAGTGCCATTTAGAAGAACCCAAACAAAACATAACAAGTCAAATCAGGCATTGGAAGCTGCCTAGCTGCTGCATAAGAGAGTAGTTTACACCAACATGACTGGAAGCAAAATATATTGAGTATAGTATCTCTCATTTTATTGACGAGTTTTCCTTTGGGAAGAAATTCAGTCACAGAACATCTTGAGTCCTGTACCCATGCAAGTGAAGAGACCTCATTTTATAAGTATTACATGTCAAATATATATGCTTGTATTAACCAAGTTCCTTTTCTTGGGAAAGACCTGAAATGCCATGAGTGGTGTGGGCTGGGTCAAGACGACAATAGTATTAGTATTGGCACAATGACATGAGATCACCACAAGTTCCCAGGTATCCCTGCACTGGTATGAGTTTTTTTTTCCCTGTAATAAAACATTCAGAGGTTGAACAGCATTGTTTTAGCCCATGCCTTCCTTCACACCTTTTCTGCAACTCCAGTGCCAAACTTCAGGTTGTCATTCCCAGGATTTTTGCATACGGAATAACCCTTCTCATGACTGGCTGCTTCTGCCATCTGTATCATTACTGTTTCTTTGCTTCAGATCTACCTGCAATAAATGCTGCTCTGCATTCTTGTCTTCCTCTTTTTCCTCCAACGTCCTTTATCTTCTTCTAGACATACCCAGTTGAAGACAACTTGGGATCTGTTTGGTTTGGTTGTTTTTTTTTGTTTTTTTTTTTTTTTTCCCAGAGTATTTGACATTACATACAATGCTCTATGTTCAGAGTATGACTCCCATTGGTTTCAGCAGTAAGTGAATGCTCATCACTTCTGCATATTCAGTCAGTGTTTCAAGCTGGTTGTCCAGAAAAAAGAAGAATGCACAGTTAAAATTATAATCTGATATATATCTTTTAACTGACATCACAAATGAACTTTGTGACACTCAAGGAACTTGATACTGTCCTTGCTCTTTCAGCATTTCCCTCATTCAAATTCCCACTTCAAATTTAAGTTCTGCAACAAACAAATAGACAAGCAAAGCAGGAAATCTTGAAGACAATTTTACAGTAAAGATCCCTGCAATGCTCAGAAGTAATTACTCAGAAGTAAGAGATGGTTCTGCAGAAAAAATTACATACATCCTCTCCCATGAGATGCATGAACATAGGGGCCGGAGTAAGGTTTCCATGTTTTCTGAACACATCCAGAATATCTCTGTGTATTAAGGGGATAAACTATTAAACCTCTTTATAGCTTGTAAACACAGACACCGCAACTGTGCAATACTAATATTTGCAATTGGCATTAAGGACTGAAACACTGATGCACACACACATACTTGAGGACGTGTTTACATTGTGCAG